GTAGATGTCTGTCAGGGATTCAAATTGAAGCTGGCAGATGTTTTGGAAGTACCCAACCAAGGCATTTATAATTTCTAGTGTTTTTCAGAGGCTGTCACAAATGTCACTCTCACAACTAACCAGCTTAATTTAGTAACAAGGGCTGCCACTGCCACCACATACACTAGTAGGTCATGTGAGGTAAATAAGGAATGGTATCAAAGCTGATACTGTACATTCTTTTGAGACAGGTCATGTAAGGTCACCATATAAGATGGGCATTAGGGTAGTACAGTAATATCCAAGGTTAGTCACTGAGTGTCAGCCCTAGATCACTGTGATGTATCCGCTGAGTGCTGACTGAGAAAGTTTTCATCAGTTGGGTTATTTCCGAGCAAGGGATGAGACCAATGTTTACTTTTTATTATAAATAACCTTATCACGATCTTTTAACAAATACCAGTACGGTACTGTAAAACCAATTCTTTTACTGATATAATTTAATTATCATGGTAGTGTACAGTATGTGTAAAATATTAGCCTTGAACAATAAAGTACCGTACCATATAGCTAAAGAAACAAAAATATGTTTGGCACCTGACTTTTTCAGCTGGACCACTTGGAACTCCCAGAGATCACAGTAACTCTGGGAAAATGTAAGTGAAGTGTGTTGGACTCACCAAAACTTTAGACAACTGAAAGCCCTGAACAATCATGAAGGATTATGCCATGGGCAGCAAATTACATCAAAATAACATTACAGATAACCAACGAGATATTATGTGATGGTTACTGCCAAAAGTCTCTACATCAGCAGCTTCAAAAGACTATCAATAAGCTCACTAATAAACTAATGGCAACCTGTCCTCATATAAATATCACAGCTGGGTGGCATTTCTGAAGTGTGCAGATGAAAGTCCATTGAGGAATCAGTCATAATTTCTGACCAAATGAGTCCAAAGACACTGCCTCTTTGGATTTAAAAGTAATGTAGTTGGTGAACTTTGTATGGTACAATACACAGGCAGAGAGATACAAAACAGTCACAGTAGAACAGTACCAGTTTGTCTTTATACAGCATGTTTCATGTCTGCTCTGCACTCTTTAAGTACTGTACTGATCTTTACAATGTACACAGATACATCATGCTGCATAATAGCACAGCAGATTTTGTTTAATTTGTACAAAATTTATGTCACACTTAAGAGGTGAACTCCCTGAATGCCCAGCAGTAAAGAAAAACACCAAAATACCCTGTACTGTATTTGCTCTTGCCACTCAGAAGGTAACCTGATGACATCACCACAATGAATACTGTCTACAGTACTGTACTAATAAGATGACATTTCATTAACAAGGCCAACAGCTATAATAAATTGTCACTGCTGTAGCTCCAAGAGACCTAAAATTTGCATGCATACCAACAGGGTCCTGGGGGTGTGTACCTCAGTGTTACTTTTGAGATTTGGCTCAAAGAAAAAAAATTGAGGAGGTGAGAATGCCACAACATACTGTACTGTAGCTGTAGTACTTTCCCTCACCATTAACAGCCCCCCATGAGGGCTAACCCCTCCTAGTGTAGATAATAATGTAGTTGATGTTGAGTAATGACTGTAGAATAACTATATACATAGATGATGATAGTGGATATAATGTAGGTAAGTGTAATTGATGCAGTGAAGACATTTGTGTAGTTTATGAAGTGCAAATAATAGTATAGTTATGGACATGGTTATGAGTGCCCCTTATCCCCTTCACTACTGAATCTCACTTTCAATATCTTATTTGGTAGTATTTTGAATCATTTGAACAAACATGAATAAAAGACTCGGTAATATAATAATTTAAATTTAGTCAATTTGACCAAGGACAGCTGACAAAGCCATGAGATGCTTGTTTCCAGTAGTCCTTATGCCAGCAGCATCTGGTGTTCTTGGGCCAGGCGCTTACCCATCCGTGTACTAACCAGACCCAACGTTGCTCAGCTTCGCTGATTGGACAAGAAGCCGTGCTTCCAACATGGTACAGGTAAAATATAACTTAACCAGTATTATTGCATAAGTCACCTGGTACCGAGCACCTGGTACTGGTACAGTATTAAATTTTGAGAATTTTATGGCTGCGATCAGCAGTTTAGACAATTCTAAGACACTTTACTTCTATGATGCCTTTGGAAATGATTTATATATGCCAGGGGTCTAAAAGGGGGAAGGGGGGGGGTGACTAGATTAGGGTTTTGAGAGAAATGCCATAGAAGAAGTGTCTTAGAATTGTCTAAACTATTGGTTGCAACCATAAATTCTCAAAATGTAATACTGAACCAGGCAACTTATGCCAATTTACCCATTAAACCTTTAAATAGTTGCTTTTAGGTATTTTACTCTGGCTTACACCAGATAATTTTATTAACCAGAGAGAAACTCGTAACACTCAATGGGTTAATTAACATCAATACAGTACTTAAACTAGAATGAGTGTTTTAGAAATGTATCAGGTTAAAGCCTAAACTTAGACTGGGGTAGTATGTCCAGTGAGGTTTGCCAGTTACATAATACACCTTTGTTTATAGGTACAGAATTTATATAAGTTTGTTTACAAAAGCAGTGTATAGTTACTGTACTACTAGTACTGTATATTGCATCTTCACTTTTCTAGGGTCCCATTCTCTAAAGCAGCACATTTTTAACTACTGGGGGTCCCCAGCTTATGAACGCCCGCCGATACAAGGTTAAACTTTAAATTTACAGTATTTTATTTACCTGGGGACTTATTTTTTACTTTCATTTGCTGTATTTTGCCATTCTATTTCTTCTTTTCTCTTAAATTAAGTGATTTTAGATGTATATAAAGTTTTAGGCTGTGATATAGTGGGATTTTAAACATTGTTCTATAAGTACGGTATACAGTACACACAGCATATGTTCAGACTTGAGAACGTCCTCAGGATCAGAACCAGTCCGTAACCCGGGGAACCCTTGTACATACTGTAGTGTACACACAAGTCATTTTCTCCACCTAACCATTGCAATGCAGGTAGTGTCCAGGAATACTGGTGAAAGTTCTTTTAGAGTTGAATTTCCTTAAACGTTAAAACTATTCATTGCAAAGATAAAATTCCTAAGATTTATGTATTGTCATGAAGTAAAAATTTACCCTAAGGAAATGTGTTTCCTTAATACTGCTAACTTAATACTGTAATTGGTTTGAAACCAAAATCTTCACCTGGAAGTTTTTTGTTCCTTTCAGAGCAAGAACCTCCAATGAATACAAATTATTCCCTTCCCCTCAAACCCCATATGCTACTGCCTTTGAGTATAGTTCATCATGGCGTACATAATACTTAGTGGCCTTGTTCCAGCTATATTCAGACACTTCAGCATTGATTCTACCTTTGATTTGTCAATTTCTGAAGTGTTTACGTAGTCATGTAAGGGTTTCCAGATTTGTAAACCACCAATAAAACACCTCTAGCAAAAAAAAAATATGGTTGTAAACCTGCTACAAAAGTGACAATACTAAATTGGTACACACTATAGGGCAATACCTAACTTGATGGCTGCAGCTGCAAAAAACAGTCAAGAATAAGGCAAGTGCTTTATAGTTTTAGGATTTTTATAGGTTTGGTAAGGTTAGATAAGATTTTTAAAGGTTTGTTTGATATTAAGTACTCAGTCTAGGTGATGTAAACAGAGTAACCAGATACCAGATGAGCAACGATGTTATAGAGAAATCCGACTGCGAGAATGATTTAGGAGTAATGATAAGTAAGAATCTTAAGCCAAGTAAACAATGTGTATTTGCTCGAAAAAAGGCTAAAAAAGTACTTGGGTTCATACAAAGGAGTGTTATTACAAGACTAGCAAGGTTATCCTCAAATTATATCTTGCGCTTGTGAGACCACACCTGGATTACGCGGTTCAATTCTGGTCACCGTATTACAGAATGGATATTGAATCACAAGAAAGAATTCAGAGGAGAATGACAAGACTAATCCCACGCATTAGGAACCTCGAGTATAGACAGGTTAAAGCATCTTAATTTGCACTCCCTCGAGAGATGTAGGGTAAGGGGGCAATATGATAGAGGTGTATAAATGGAAGTCAGGGCTAAACAAAGGGGACATTACAAAGGTACTCAAACTATCCAACCAGGAGCAAACTCATAACAATGGTTTTAAATTAGACAAATTTAGATTTAGGCGTAAAATAGGTAAGCAATGGTTTCGAAATAGAGTAGTGGACGAGTGGAACAAGTTACCAAACATCATCATTAACTCGAATACGCTGGATAGCTTCAAACATAGGTTGGACGGATGTATGAGCAATAGGGGTTGGGTGTAATGGGACTGCCCAGTATGGGCCAATAGGCCCGCTGTAGTTTCCTCCATTCTTATGTTCTTTTTAGTTCGTTTATGAGAGCGTTAAACCAATGGATAGTCTCAGTCAACATTAATTTTTGTCTTACGATGTGGCCACATTTCTAACTTGCTTAATAAACTTTTCTTCCTAGTGAAAGATTAAACAAGTGCCCAAATATTGAAACAATTCAGCGTAAATATGGATTGCAGTACATACTGTTTATGTACTTTAACATGACCGATCTGAATTTTCAATAATCTTCATATACTACTACAATCCTTCCTCGTCAGTACTACTAATAATTTATGAGGCAATTCTTATAAGGGAATTTTCGGACATTCCTATCGAATCAGACGGAAACTAAAGGAGTGACCGTGAATGACCCTGCCATGTTCTCATCTCCCACACTAAGGTATAACAGGATCTCCACAACACCTCCATCTTGCCCAAACATATAATATCCCCCGCCATCAGTGGAGACGCCGCCGTACACCACACAAATATCTGCCGGGCGGGATCGATCGTGGCGGGTGTCTGGCGTGGGTTTGACAAGACGACGCTCACACCACACCGCCCCCATAAACTCTTTGACAATTCACTTCACAGCACTAACACAAAACAACTTAAACTTGCACACAACATAAGCATAATGAGGAGACTTACCTTTAGGTTCCTCAGTGTTTCTATCTTTCACAACCCATATTTCCTCAATGGTGCCATACTTGGAAAAGCTTTCACGGAAATCCTCCTCTGTGATGGACTTTCCACATACAATAAACAATCGAGAGTGAGGAGGATCGTCATATTTTGATTCTTTGCCATATTTACCACCGTCAGAGCCATGGAAATTATCTCTGGATTCGTAGCGACGCGAGAGCTTGTCTGTTGACGCCATCTTTTCCCGAGCAACTCCCAACCTCGGGCCAAATTCACATTGGTCTCCCTCTCAGTATATAGACGAAAGAAAACGGACCACGTCGCAGCTATAATAAATAAAAGAGCATCACATATAAAGATCTGAAGCGGTTTAAAACTACAAAGATGCTGTACGTATGAGTGCTTATAGTATTTGAAACGACTAATGTTTGCTTCTTTTTAAACTTATAAAACTTTCACCTGCTGCTTCTAAGGTCGTAACAAGAAATGCCAATAATTCTTATTTCCTCAGTAGTAATATCTGCCTTCTCGATATGCCTTGTGCATGGACTATGAACTTTACATATTTTGCATACAGAAACTGCAAGATTCTAGCATCAAAATTGCCGAAACAATGGAAAACCTAACAAATTCCATTATCACGAACTACAAGTTCCTGAGGAAGAGGTGAAAGTATTTTATGGTTGATTCCAGACGGTAGTGAATTTAACAGCTGAGCGTCTTTGCCACAGCATGATTGGATTCTACACCATGCCATTTTTACCGCGTAAACGTTTTTCACCTGGAATACTGCGAAGACTGAATAACAAATTATTTGCACATTATACATTTTACACGCATGCTTGCTAAATTAAATAACTTAATGTCTAAAGAGAGAGAAAAGTTCTTATTCACAAGTTAAACCTTAGTTAATACTTAATAGGGAAGGAAAACGTTAAGTAAAGAACTTAGATTGCATTTCCTTGCAAAGTCAAATACTAATCTTTTGTCGTACCTCTTGGAGTTTCTAGACGGTCAGCTTGGTTTTCTATCATCAAACATATGTTTTTGTATCAATTACAGAAACAGGCACAAAATTGTATGCACGTATTTCAGCAGGATATATCAAGAAAAAAACAGTATCAATGAAACTGAATACAATAGAAAAGAGGCTTAGAATTTCCCTATATTTGCAGTCCACTGTTGCCGTATCCAGCCACGTACTCATTTTCTTTATATTTCTGAAGTTATGAACATACAACCAAATATGGAAAAGTTGGATAAATAGGTGTTTAATAAGCAAAAATCGTCATGCAACTTACATTGGTTTAGCAAATGCACAAATACATAAACAAAGGTTAGAAAATGAAACCAAACGAGGAAAGAAAAAACGTTAAACATATAAAGCATACTGAAGAACGAAGATGAATTAATAGAGATGGGAAACAACTCGACGCGTCAACCTACAGGAAGAGCCGTGCCCATAACAACTGAATACACAAGTTAACGTACACGTCACAACTATATGTACTGTATGCCTTGTATGAACATTTCTGGGAAAATTAATGTTTACTTTTTCCTTTTCCGTTGCAGCCTGGTTGAAATGTCGACTGTCCTTCTCTTTACTTAGGTCTGCATTGCTTTGCCTCAGGAGAAGGAGATTGTCGACCCCAAAGCCGACAACCGTCGCAGATATTAACTATGAGGCAACAGTCACTGAATGCCGCATAAATCGGCTTAACTCAACACAGCTCGGGTAGTTACTTTTGTATTAGGATATTTAATATTTAGGTGTGACTTTTGAGGGAAGCTGGTGGCCACGTTAAAAAAAAGAAGTAGTAGCCATAGAATTAATTTTCATGACTTCTTTATTTTTTAGTTACTAGCTTTTCTTTTAACGTCATTCCATTTTTTTAATTGCTTTTACCCCACCTCCATCGCTAGGAGAAAGAAGAAAGAAAAAGACAAGACAGAAGTACAAGGTAAACAAGAAGAAAATATAAACATGAAAAGGGAAACCAGTAAATGGGAGGACAAAGATGAGCAAAAGAAGAGGAAATATTCACCCCAACTACCCTTACATTACTGTCTGTAATTTATGGTAACTCCCATTAGTCCATTCTTGGCTGTGATTCTATGCTGACAACAGCCTCTCTCCCCATTTCACACGCCTGGGCACTCACCCACAACAAATCAGCCTAGCCCGAAGCTCCTCTCTCTCTCCTGTCTGTCCTCGGCCAAGCTAAATACTTTACTACTACAGGTATTCATTCTTTGTTTTTCTATCCATCGTTTCTGGAGCCATTACATAGTTTATTGTATATTTTCTCTTTTTTTTCATCTCTTCAGCAATCCCAGCTAAGCATGGGTTATTACTACTTACCAATCTTTGTCTCTCCGGAGATCTCTCGTCCTCTCTCGTTTACCACCCCAGCCAATCCCAGTAAGCTATGTAAAATGTAAACAAGCCCGGGGTGCATGATTCCGCTTGAGGTAGCACCTTTAACGAGGCTTCGCTCAGGCTAGCCTACACTGCCACTACCCCAACCACTTCTTCCATTGTCTGGTGTTACATCCGTAGTGACAACAGTAGTGTTGTCACGGTTAAAGTGACTGCTGCTATCTCGGTTAAAGTGTCTGCTGTTATCTTGGCTAAAGTGTCGGCTGTTATCTCGGTTAGGTGTCTACTGTTGCCTCGGTTAAAGTGTCTGCTGTTGCCTCTGTTAACGTGTCTGCTGTTATCTCGGTTAAGTGTGTACTGTTGCCTCGGTTAAAGTGTCTACTGTTGTCTCTGTTAAATAATTTGCTGTTATTCGGTTAAAGTGTCTGCTGTTGCCTTTGTTAAACTGTCTAATGGCGTCTCGGTTAAATTCATTGGTTGCATGTTGTGTGTAAATGACAGTTTTTTGTGTGATCAAATTGTTTTCCGTTGTTAATATGTAGTCATACTTTCTTCTGTTATTAAATAGTTTGCAGTTTTCGTTCTATTAAATTATCCAGCTTAATCAAATCACCAGTTTGACCAGATCATTCACAATAGCAAGTTGTCTTCAAAAATAGAAGAAAAAAAAGATCATTGGTAAATTTTTTGGATATATTAATTTATTCGCCTTGAAAAATTTAAAAGTAAAGCTAAATTGAATTCTGTTGTCAGTAACGTTATCGGCATTGCAACCTCATTACCCTAATGTTCTGATATGTAACGTTAACCTCTTCAGAGCAGCGGATAAGCGTTACGCGCAATTAACCAAACCTAACCTACTTGATAATGCTGAATGTCTGTCTTTCAGATAAATTATTTGACGACATATTTTTTTTCGTTTACTTTCCCTTATTACTAAAGAGTGTATGTGAAGGAGAAAGTTGTGTCATATAGGCAATTTATACCTAGATTTTGCCAAGGCTTTCGACAGTGTACCGCACGAAAGGCTAAAAATCAAACAGGAAGGGTACGGGATTCCGGGAAATGTCCTAGCGTGGATGGGAGATTTTCTGCATGACCGCAAGCAGTGTGTGGTGATTAATGGCGCGAAATCATCATCTGTTCCTGTCAAAAGCGGGGTACCACAGGGCAGTGTATTGGACCCGCTGTTGTTTGTTTGCTTCATAAATGACATGCCTGACGTTGTACACTCCTCTATACAAATGTTTGCCGATGACGCCAAGTTATTTCGGGAAGTCAAGAACCAAGCGGACTGTGAAGAGCTGCAGAAGGATCTCTGTGAGCTCCGAGAATGGTCGAAGAAATGGCTGCTGAGATTCAATGTCACGAAGTGTAAGAGGATGCACCTGGGGCGTACCAACGGTAAGGAGGCGTATCATATGTCCCAACGGGATGAAGAAACTACACTAGTTGAGACTGTGTGTGAGAAGGACCTAGGTGTGTATGGTGACAATGAGCTAAAATTCTCGGGCCATTGCGAGAAGAAGGTAAATCAGGCAAATAAATTATTGGGCCTTATAAGAAGGTCGTTCAGATATCTTAACGGCGTCCCTCGTAACGATCTTCAAGAGTGAAGTTCTTCCCCATCTGGAGCACTGTCATCCCGTCTGGTCCCCGAGATATGCTAGGGATTGTCAGTTGGTTGAAAATGTTCAAAGGAGGGCCACTAGACTGGTGCCTGCACTTCGGCACCTCAACTACCCTGAGAGATTGGAGCGCCTGAACTTGCCGAGCTTATAATACAGACGGGCAAGGGGCGGCCTAATTGAGGTGTATAAGCATCTCAAGGGGCACTACTCAGTCCAATGTCCTTACTTGGAGCTGGCGGACGCTCGCCTCACAAGGGGTCACAGCTCAAGATTGAAGAAGCCGCAGGTCCAGAAAACTGTGAGGGCAAACTTTTTCGGAGTGAGAATTGTGAACTCTTGGAACAATCTACCAGAAAGTGCTGTGACGGCACCGAATGTGAGCTCTTTCAAGACTAGACTTGACCAATACTGGAGCAGGTTCAGGTACATTCATGAGCCGGTGCATGCCCAGTACTTGCCAACAGTGCGTAACAGAGAAGTGACCGATCGCCCAAGCGGCTAACGAGCCGATCAGTGGTGAAGAGGATAAAAAAAAAGAGGCTCACCTTGTGTGGGCGCCGGGTGGCGGCAAATGCACGCCGCCTACACTTCCCTATTAGTCAAATACCCATTCAGAATTTCAGACACCCATTCACATCTGGGGCGACTGTATAGGCAATTGTCGCTGAGTTGAATATGAATTTTATTTTATTTTTCTAATAAGGACATGATAAACATTGCATAGAATTCCAGGGCAATGAGAGGTTTGTATTAAAATACGGTACAGGCTAATATTATTGTACATTCAGTCCAGTTGGAGATAAAAAGATTCATACTACATTGTATCTACTATCCAGGTGTTTAATTATATTTCCATTCTTGAGTTGTTTTGAACATATTTATCTTTTTTTGCAAGTTACGGGTTTTCCAGTGGATTGTACTACATTTGTAATAATAAAATAATATTGCTGAAAGTATATTCTCATTTTTTCCATAACTGTTCTTATCTCACTTTTCTTCAACACCTTCCCGAGTTGCTACATGCAAAGAACAAACGCAGGTTGTTTGTGAGTTTCCAGCTACCGAATGAGCAGGCGTCAACTACTGAGGCTCTATTTCTTGCCGCCACTCTACCCCCCTCCCCAGATATAAACAAAGTGTGCCTCTCCAACCTCGCGGCATTTTATGTATTATTGTGTATATTGTGCTTTATTGCGTATTATTTTGTAAAGTGTGAAGATCTGCATCTTTAGGAAAT